CACCCCTGGCCTCTACCCACTAGAAGCCAATAGCAGGAGATAGTCGACATACGCAAAATATCGAAATCGATACAGTTATTGGTGAAAATGAAAAATGTGTCTTTCATTTCATAGAAAAACTAAGCGGACTTTTGGCCAACCCAACAGCATGTCAGCAGAACAGCATCAGGGTCCGAGAACAGCCCAGAAGTGAATCTGTTGGCCCCCAAGTGACAGCACAGGCGTGAGAGAACGAGGCCCCACAGGAATCAACAGTGCCTGTAAGAGCCCATGGCCCTCAAGGAAGGTCACGCATAGGTACAGGGGTTTATAACCCTGTAGCACCAAAGCCTTGCCTTCCGCCAGCAGTGGTGTCTGTTTGTAGTCCCCCAGGTCTTGGTGCAATGTACTCATTAGGGGTTGTTTTTACAAGGGGCAAGGCTGCCTGGTAACGCTGCAGATACTGCCCCATCAGGTTTCCAGGCAAATAACGCCAGGAGGGGCTAAATCCAAGGTCTTTTCCTCATGGAGAAGAAGACAGGATTGTGTAAATTCTTTCTTTACGTTAAATTCTATCACATACCAAATTCCGGTGGTGAATGTTCCTGGACTTTGCGTCTTATTCCATTAAATCTGTTTGTCTGTTTTTAAGCCAGCACCATATTATTTCAATGATTTTTAATGACTCTTTAGGGAAGTACAATACACTCAGGGAAAAGGGCTTAAATCCTAAGCGTAGGGGCCAGTGAATCATTTCACAGTGAAGACAGCCCTGAAATCACCACCCAAATCAGGAAACAGAGCTCTCTCCTGTCACCATGAGAACCCTGGTTCTTGCCAATGCCACAAGGAATTACAGATCAGCAGGTCTACTAGCGTGCAAGTAGGGCTTATTGGTGATCTGTTCTCATGGAGGAGAATGGGCCTAGTTAAGGTGCGGGGAGTGGAAGGCATAGGTTCAGGGCAAAGCAGGGAAGGGGCAGCCAAAGGCCAGGGTGGCAAGTGTGCAGGCAGCAGGGAGAGCCCAGAGCTCCAAGCCTCCTCACCCCTCCTCCGGTCCTTTGTTCTGAGGACTTACACAGTTGGCAGGACAGAGCTGAGGGGTTAACATATTGACTGAGAGGCAAAGGTGGTGCCACCTTGGGGGTGGGGCGTGAATACCCAAAGGTGTTAATGAGCTTCTTCCTTCTTTCAGGCCTTGGCATGAGAGCAGTTTCAAATGCTTTCTTTACCAGATAGTGGAGACGATACTTATACATTCAAGGGCTCCCCTCCTTCCTGCCTTTATTTGCCCTCTGGATGCTCATTCTACTGTGACCCAACCAGCCGGCCCAGGGCTCATCCTGCTAGCCTGCCTCACGTGGTTTGAACTGTCGTCTGGTTCAGCAGGAACTGTTCTCCAGAGCCTGTGGTCCCGGGTTAGAGCTGGCCAGGGGAGCTTGCAAGAGATTGAGGACTCGGAAGTGAAGCCACAGCCATCACTCTGTGACAATCACAGCAGTAGATGTGGGGATGAATGCAGAGGTGGTGGTGGTTTCCATTTTATCTTTGCCCTTCTCTGCCTCCAGCTCATCAGCCTTGCTCCACTGCCCAGAGTAAAACACCTACCCGCACGTGGCTCAGCTTCCCACAGGGGCCGCCAGCACCCGTCAGGGCTCTCACCTGGCCAGGCAAGCCCAGCAGGGCTTCGGGAAGGCCAGCTGACTCCTGCTCCCGTCCTCTGACTCTCCTCCGCCTTGTGCAAGATCTGAGTCCTATTTAAAACAGTAATTCTACTTTCCTAATGGAACCTCTCTAAAGGCTATTGATTTTTGTATGTTTGATGTCTATCCTGCCAGTTTATTCTTTTATTTAGATTTATTCCCTGAAGTTTTCTAGGAATAATATGAAATCTGCAAAAAGGTAAATTTTACTTTATTTACCCATTCTTATGCCTTTGATTTTTTCCAGTTGCATTGTTTAATACTTTTATCTGGACAGCGCTAAATAGTAGTGGAGACAGTGAGCATCCGTGCCTTGGCGCCAGGAATAAGATGTTATATAAAATGAAAAACATATTTTTATTTACATTTGTATATTTGGTCATGTTTTTAGAAAAACCTCAATTCCTATTTTCTTGTGTATTTTTATCTTCAGTGGTGTTGAATGTTATCAAAGGCTTTTCAGCATTCATGCACATAAATGTGTTTTTTTTTCCTTCTGCGGGGCTCCAACAGCATGAATATTAGTCCTTCTTTGCCTGCCTTCCACTTTTTCCCTGACCTTTTTTGCTCCTTTGTCATTTTTATTTTTTTGGTTGTTTTTCTTGCCTTTCTTCAATGACTCCTATTTTCATCTGAATCTTCTCCTTTGGGCATCTTGGGACTTACCCCTATTTCTCCAAGATCCCACGCACTAGCTTCTTTTTCGGTCTTCCCTGCACTTTTGTGGAGGGGGATCTGCCTCTGCTACGGAGCCTTGTGGTAGGTGAAAGGGCAGAAATGTGAGAGAGAGCGCATTGGGATTTGGTGAGTTTTCTCTTTGTAGTTATTTTGAAGATTTGACACTGTCTGCCTTCCAATTATGCTGAGAATGTGGTTTTGTGTTGAATTTACTTTCCATTTCTTGATTCATGTTGCTTGTGAAGGACTGGGAGAGAAATAGCTGTGCAGTTCCCACTGTCTTCAGCTACCTGGAAGTCCCCTACATAGGTTACTGAAGAGTTGGGTTTTAAAGCTTCAGCTGGTGGCTGTCTCTGTCAATGCTCTGGAGCAAAGAGGTGCCGGAACTGGAGAGGAGCCTAGCACCTGCTCAGAGTCTCTGGCTGCAGCGTTAGTGGAGTTTGCTTAGTGACCGACCACCTTGGTGCATTTTCTCTACTTAAAATGTTGTGATTGTTGTGGTGGACATCGGTGATTTTGTCTGACACGAGTTCTTGATTTCCTTTGGGGAATCACCCTGCTTCAGGGATGGTCACCTCCCACGTCTAGACCTAACTAATCAGTATAATATCCATCTTTCAACGTACAGTGATTGGTTGAGGGTGGCATGGGACCAGTCAATCCAATGAGCCTGGATCTCTTATTAGAACTATCAGAAGAGAAGAGCCCTATTTTGTTGGGGGTCGTAAGCAGAAAATATTCCAGTCTGTTCTAGTCTTACGTATACTACACATTGTTTCTGACCAGTTATAGGAGGCTTACATGAGCTAATGGCTTACAGAGTCCTTACTGCCCCAGGAAGTCCAAGGTGGAAAAAATACAATGATACAGTGCAGGGCCGCTGGAAAGCCACTTGCTCCATGACTGACACTGATCACCAGCTAAGAGGCATAATGAGTGATCTTGAGAAAACAGATGCCACATATTATCAAATAGTCAATTTTTAAAAGAAAAATTGCTTGGAAATTCCTTCATTATTCCTTCATTCAGTAGCCACAGCTTAGCCTCCTTCCTTCGGAACAGTTATAGTCCTCAAAAAATTAGTCAAAGCATCTTCTGATCTTATGTTAGGATCACCTAGAAATCTGATGTTTGTACATGTGGTAAATCTCTAGTGTTAGTTATGAATCATTGCCCCTTTTTCTTTCCCATATTACCACCCACTGGTATAACACTCTGATCATAATAATAGTTACACTGTTTCAGTGACCTTGTCTGTCAATTCTAACATTTGTTAGTTCTGGGTCAATTTTAATGAATTTCTCATTATGGGTTATATTTTCCTTTTTTTCATGTCTGATAAATCTGGACTGAATGCCAGACACTGTGACTTTACTTTGATGGGTGCCGTATCATATTTTTACATTCCTCTAAATATTCCTAAGCTCTGTTATGGAACACAGTTACTTGGAAACTCATCATTTGGGGTCTTGTGTTTGAGATTTGTGAGGTAGGGGCAGAGCAGCATTCCCTTTCCAACTTTTTGTATGACCCACCCACGCCCTGTGAGTCACAAAGCTTCCAGCGCTGCCTGGGTAGGAACTGGTTTCGTGCATGTGTCCTGGCCACGGTTACCTCCACCCCGCTGGACGGTTCTTTCCCCAGCCTTAGGTAGTTTCCTTAGGTGACCTGCTGGCCAGAACTCGGCGGAATGCTCAGAGGACTCTCTGGGCATCTCAGGAATTCCCTTCGTGCAGCTCTCCCCTCTCTGGCACTCCCGCATTCCCTGTCTCTCCAGACTCTGAGTCCCAGCTCCTTGACTCGGGGACCCACCCAGCTCCACCCTGACTTCCCCTCCGTGCGCGGCCTGGATTCTCTCAAGGCTGTGAGCTGGAACAATAGGAAGACTCCTCTCATCCGTTCCCTTTCTCTCAGGGACCATTGTTCTTTGTGCCATGATGTCCAGTCTCTTAGAAACCACTGTTTCATATTTTGTTGGGTGTTCTTTTACAGTTTTAGGTGAAAGTAGATGCCCACAACAGAAGCTAGTATGCTATGCAATAGTCACTACAAAAATACTACAGAAACACTTTTAAAATATCACAGAAATAAGCTAGTTAATCGGCACAGTAAATATGCAGTTCTAACTTTAAGTGTTACTAGAAACAATCACCAATCCAACTCTGTAAGCCACTGTCCTGAAGCAAGTGTTTCCTGCTATGGACAATCTGAGAAATGCAGTAAGGTATGCTACACGGGCCCTGGCCAGGGAGCTCAGTGAGCTGGCGTCTCCTGGAGTGGCGCCGACTGCTGTTCTGAATAACCGTTTTTGTTTATAGCTTCCCTTGGATATTCACGATCCCTCAGATATCTCACATAAGTAAAGAGATGTTAGTCTTATTAAAGATGACTGGTAATTACCCAGCATAGAAAGGTATAAGTTGAAAATATGGTGGAAGAATTTTTACCATTACCAGGTGATTCTATTTCCAAAGATTATCTCCTGGATGTCAGCCTGGGAGAGTTCACTGAAACAAAACATTGTATCACTTAGTTGCTGTGTCATAAAGTATCTCTCTCATTAAATGGTTTTGATAAACTGTACCTAGAAAAACAGCCAAGTATCATGCAACAGCATCTGCTATCGTGCAACAAATTAATGTAAATTTATTGGGTGGAAAACAGGGAAAGAGAAAGATAGGGTGGTTCTCTATTGATATCAGAATTCATAAAAGGATCAACTCGGGTCCGAAATCTTCAGCCCACACCAAAGACTTCGTGTTCCGATGACCGTGGAAACAGGCCAGCCCTGGTTGCTGGGCTCAGGGGGTCGTCCGGTGTAGCTGCTAACGCAGCTCTTCCTCTGTCACGGATGTCACTTTCTCTCTAGATCAGGATACTTCTTGGGCACAAATCTAAGGTTCTGTTTGCTCTCCCACCGATGTAGAACAGACTGGTTGGACATGACATTGCGCCTTTTCACCTGGTCCTGTGGGAGAGAAACACACCTGACACTGTTCAAAACTAACTGCAGCGCCTGGGCCCACTTCGTCTTCACAGCACTTACTCACAAGGGAGGTGGTTCTAGTCTGGACAGCTCGGGGGAGGCAGAACTTTTAAGAAAAAAAACTTAGTTCACTGCTTTCCTTGCAGTAGTTTAAAGAAATCTACAGATTAGTAAAGAGGATAGCTGGATGAAGACAGAACTTCTATAATTAGAAATCTAAGAATTGCTTAAGACAGCCACGTCTGACTAAATGCCCTACCTCTTCCCGCCACCTGCTCTCCCGGGGAAGCCTCTGTAACCGGTTTTTTGTCAGCTCAAGTTGTAGGCCATCGAACCTGCACTTAAACCAGCGGTGAGCTTCTTCCAGGTTAGCTGTTATCTGAACATATAAATGTTATCATTAAAAGTTACAACAAACAGTTAAAGGTTTTTTTTGTGTATTAGTTCAAGAGACTTTTTACCGAAGTATTAAAGATCCAGATTCTGACTGGAATGTCCTTGCAACCTATTTGCGTAATACACATCCTACAGGTGAAACAGTAATTTCTGAACATGGAGCTGAAGACGAAGGCAGGCCTGCTGCTGCTTACGCCTTTGGTAGTGTTTCCTGGGTGTGAACACGGGTAAGACAGAGTCCAGGAGAGAAGTAGGGATGAAAGTACAATACAACACTGAAAGTGAGAATGGTAGTTCAAACCATATTTTAAATTTTATTTTCTAAGACTAAATAATTCTACAAAGTCCCTAAACTGTGGAGGCAGGTTTTTTTCTGTTGTGCTTTATGAAAAAATTGAATGGATTAATAAAAAACTGGACCAGCTTACTATATAAGCTGTATTCTCTTTATTTCCTTTATCATAAAAATACCTTACACTTTACTGAGGTCATAAGCACACATTTGCAAATTATCTCTGTTTGACCTGAACAGTCCCTCTGATAGTCTGTCTTTGAAGGTGAATTGTAATCAGTATTCATTTATTTGACAAATATTTACTGATGGCTTATATATGCCTGGCACTTTTCTAAGTATTTGGGCTACTCTGGTGTTTTGAAGGGAAAGCTAATAGATGTTCACTTTATGTGAAGCATGCTTCAAAACAGGTCCAGAACACACCCTCTAGAATAAAAAGTAAAATGACTGGTTTTCCCACTTTGATTACTTGTTCTGAGACGGCATTTCTGGTTTTTGGTTCTGAAGCCCGAGAGAGTGGCATTTTCTCTGGGCCCCGAGCGCAGGGGCTCTGTGTGGCTCACTCACCCTTGCCTCCATCGCCTGGCACCTGCCATGTGCAGGTCCTCAACAAGTGTGCTGCCGGGTCCTTGTCCTGCATCAGCGAGGTCACAGTGGAGCTATGACATCGTGCGGTAAGAAAGTAGAGTTCCCCTTGCTATCTAACTTTTAGAAAGCTACAAAGCTATCTTCCAGGCCTGTTTGCACATCCCACCCCCAAACCAGACTGAGCCCGACATTTCTCCAGCACCTTTACCAGCAGTGCAGGGAAAGATGCTTGAAATGGCATTGTATATCCTGTCTCCTCCTGCGTGGCGAACGAGAGGACAGCTAACACTTATTGAAACTTCCTCTGAGCCATCTACCAGCAAAACGGGCCAGGGGGCGTTGACTTCCTGACTCGTGAATATGGGACCTGATAAGGGAACGTAAACGTGACTTCCCTAAGGGCACAGCGCGTGTCACCACTGGCATTCAAACTCGGGCTTGTCACAGTCGTATTTTTTTAACATACCATTGTGATAGTCATATTGCCCTGTAATTTAATGGCTATAAAAGGGAAATATCATGGCCAACTGATAGCAACATCACTGGAATCCCTTAAGCTTATTGAGATTGTTTCTTTTTCTAGAAAATAGGGGTGGTTGTAGTAGAATGATTTCAAAGATCTGTTCCAGCTCTAAAAATGTATGATTGTAAATGCTTTCAAAAAAAGCAAATTCAAAAATTAATAAGGCCTACTTTACACTTCTATTTATTGATTGAACAAAGAGCTTCCACTTTCACGTCAAACAATAACACGTTAAAATCCACACACAGCTGGTCTTCCCATCTTCTGCTTACTGGGCGGGACGTGGGTGCCAGGATCCGCCAGTACTCTGGCAGCCCGGTGTCTCTCGTCAGGACACACGGTCTGGGTCTAAAAGTGCTTTCTTCTTTATAAAGGAGCCTACACTCAGTAAGCTGCTGGTTCTTGCCTGTCGTGCTCCTGACGACTACGTTAACCAAGGAGTTTACACTGACTTGCGTGCTTCAAGGCGGCTGTGTCTGAAGAAACTTGTCTAATTCTCTATGTCCGTGGTTCTGGCTCACCTGTTCTGATTCCACACTGGCTTCTTTCAGTTTACTCTCTGTCGCCTCTTTACATTTCTTCAGGTGTCTGACAGTTTCTTCAAGTTCCTGAAAACGTGATCCAAACAGTTTACAAAGTCCCAGTGCACCTCATTGAACAAAAAGCTTCAATATTGGTAGTAAGCGAGCAACCACATTATGAAACCGTGACTGGGGACATCTAACCTCAGGTGCTACCCAAATACAAGGTAGAGCAGTGATTTTCAGTTTACCTACAGTGTACATATGTGTATATGATTACATATTTTGATTTTGATTTATGATTTGATTTTGATTTGTTTCTCCTGAAACAAAGTGATTAACATTGCTTTCCAGAATGGGAGGGATACTTTTCGTAGCAGAGAGTCTGTGTTGGAAGCTAGAGCTTGATGATCTCATAAAGGTCCCTTTTCAGGGATAAAATGTTATGCTTTTCATTAGGTTGGGAATAGAGAAAAGTCTTGTAATAGCAATGGGTGCATATGAGCTACAGGAAGAACTAAAGGGGAATAAAGTTCCTGGAAAACCATGAAATTCACAAATCTTAGTAACTACTACTTTGCATATGTGAGTTTTAGCTGTTCTTTTTTATTTTTTTGAATATTACATTTATTTTTAGAGGGAGGGGAAGGGAAAGAGAAAGAGAAGGAAAGAATAACTGATGTGAGAGAGAAACATGGATCAGTTGCCTCTGGTACACACCCTGATGGGGCAGAACCCACAATCCAGGCATATGCCCTGACAAGGATTCGAACCTGTGAACTTTTGGTTTGCAGGGTGATGCCCAACCAACTGAGCCACACCGGTCAGGGCAGTTTCAGCCGTTCTTTTTAAAAAGCATATCATTTTTGTAAAGTTAAACACTGAGAACATGTGCCACAGTTGAAGCTATAGGCTACTTCCTAGACACTATGATTCTAATAACTTAGTGAAAATAAACAACTTATACATTTGTTTTTGTCTATAAGATCTAGAAAATTTAGGTGTTCTAATGCTGGGCGTTTGGGCCCACGTTGTTTGCTGATAGGCTCTGAGATGAATCTCAGGAAACCGTTTACCTGGCACCGATTCTCTAGCTCCTGCCTTATTTTCCGCTCCGTCTCCAGCCGCAGCTCTTGCTGTTTGCTCCGTGCTGAGGTGTCGTACTGGCTCCGGGCCAACATCTGCATCTCTTTCTGTAGATTATTCATTTCAGATACAAATCTCTGGATACTCAACGACTGGCAGGGCACAAAGAGGGGAGAGAGGGGAGACACTTGGTGTCCAAGTTCAGGATTTTATATGAATGGTAAACATAGTTTGTGGAAATCATCTACCTGTTCATAGTTTTTTTTCTGATACTGATCCTTAATTAGCTCCATCTGCCTCAATTCTGTTTCTATTTGCTGAAAGTAAATGTGGAAATAACACAGATCAGTGGAGTGGCTGGCTCGCTCTTTGCTTATAGGATGACAAAGAGTCCCACATGGGATCCACAGTTAACAGTTCCTCCTGGGCTCGCCTTCCCACCCAGCCCACTGACCCTGACAGAGCAAAGTCCCATACATCTGTGTCTCCTGTGGGAGCTGGAACAAGACACTGGCAGCTACCGAGAAACCAAACATTTATACAGCAGTGTCTGGGCTGGAAAAAGAGAGAGTCTCCCCTAAGGCAATCTGCCCGCTTCCCGGCTGAGGCTGTAACTCCCAAAGAACTGCCCGCCTGGGTCTTCGTCAGTTACTGAGGAAGTGAGGGGAGGCATACGGTTTCTCATACAACCTTCATCCTCTCTACATTCTGAGCATTATTCGCCTTGGCCGACAAGTGGAGCTTGATTTGCGCCTTTTGGTTCTTTATTTTCTCCTTGCTACTGTTCAGTAGCTTTTCTAGCTCTGTAAGTTTCTGCCGCAGCTCTCGGTTGGTACGGGACACTTCCACTGATCTGAAATTGGCTTCATCAAGGGCTTTCTTCAGCTGTGGAACACAAGGGACAATCAGAACATTTTTACCTTCCAGTTAGTGAGAGAAGCGTATGTATGTAGCTTTGTCCCTGTATTTTGTTTTCTTTAAACCTTTCTTTTAAAAAGGAGGGTAAGTGAGGCAATGATAATGTCCAAATAAGTAGTTTAGTGGAGGAACACTCTAAGTGATTTTCATAATTTTTAACACTAAAGAACACAATCTTTCTTAGGACAGATAAACAATGTAAATATAAGTTCAACATCTGCTCTTAATTTTAAGAGCGTGGATTTGGGGTCAGACTGAAGTTCAAATTTCAGTTCACCAATTACTAATTTTGGGTGATTAACTTCCCTAAGACTCAGGTTTATCACGGAAAAAGAGTGTGAAGACCCTACTTGATAGGATTCACTTAACAGTTAAATAAGACCAAGTATAGAAGGAATGAAGAGCCTGGCACATACACAACCCTGCTCCGTGATCACAACCCTGCTTTAAGTGTTTCTTAAAGGGGAGCTTCTGTCACTTGTGATCCCATGTCTAGAGAAGTGAAAATAAATTATATGGTAGTTTATATAAATATTTGTCAGTTATTAACTATGATGGCATGTAGTTTTATAATACTGCCTTTTGTTTTTAAAGAAACTTGCCTGGTGGAAAAATAGCATAGTGATTACTGTTAAAAACAAGACAGCAGGCCCAAAATGGAGTCACTTATGCTCCGTCACCAAACTGAGACTAATTACAGTTTCAGTTCTCCCAGAAATGGACTCTTGAACCTGTTGATCAGAGTCACCTGATCAACACTAGCTGGATAATCTTCCTGGTAGAACCCTGTTATAACCCTAAAAGATTGTGACTTTGCAATAACAACCTGCCTTTTCACCAAGTATAAATTCCTTGTTCCTGCTCTCTTCTTCTCATTTTGTATAGCTCCTTGTAACTTTCTGTCTACTAGACTGGATGCTGCGCAATTCGAATTGACCTCAAATCAACTTTTAAAATATAAACTAAGGCATATTAAAATTTTTAACGGTTCTGATGTCAGAAGAAGAAATGGAGGGAGACCCTAGATAGCCCCCAGGAACAATAAGCAACCAGGCAAAGTTACTCAGGAGCCCCCTGAGCCCCCTCTTTTCTCGATGCATCTGGAGGTCAGAGGCATAGGTGGGCCCCTCTCAGATCCTAGCTCTGCAGCTCTCCAGCTACAGGCTCCTGGAATTTATCGCAGCATTTCTTTTTTCCACACTGGGTCTGACTTAAGCTGAACCTGAGTCTAGGGCTGAGGCCTCAGGTGACTGAAACTTTGTTCAAAGCCTGAACAAGCAAGTTAACCTTACCAAAGGTAATCTTGAATCACAGTGGCCCAGTGGGGAACTTTGAGCTAGAAAGGCTCATCTGTTTATAAGGTGCTCCAAAGAAAAAGGGGTCTCAGCCTAGCACTCACCATAAAGGGTAGAGAGAAAATTATTTTTCCTCCTCTATGGCTTCTGGTGACCAGGATGAGACCTCACTGGCACACCCCACTCACTTCAGAGCCTACAGACAGGATCCTGGGGAAATGGGCAGAAGCTGGAAATAAGCGCAAATTCTTAACCAAAGTCAGCTATCGCACATCCCTACCTGTGGTGCCTGGTTCAAGAGAAGGTAAAATTTCACATTGTCCCTTCCTTTCCGAATTCAGATTGGTAGGCAAAAAACATATGTATGAATAGCAAGGATCCATCTGCATGGATCCTTGAATAGCTTTCAGTGATCCATTGGTGGTTAATCCTTTCTCACCAGGGACAGCCATTGCCTCGTTTGTCTCATTTTGTGTTCTGAGAACTGGGCTCGGCACCTGTCAGGTTGGGGGCTCACAAAGTACAGCTGCACAGAAATGTGGGTTCCACTCTATTTGTGGCTCGACAGGGCAGGCAGGAATGTGGGTTGTACTCCCTTTGCTGCCAGGCTGTCAGTGACTGTTGCCAGCTGTCAGAGGAGCTATCCTACCCTTTCTTTCTTCTGGTGGCTCTGGATTTTGGGAGGATGGTATCTTTTGTGCCTTTTGTTGGGGATATTTACTGCTTGCCCTATCCTGGCTGAAATCTGGCAAAATATTTGAAAGGTACACTCTAATTGCTAAATGTACCAAATTTGGCAAATTAAAGACCAGTGACCCCAACCAAGTCTTGGAATTATTTTAATTCCTCCCTCTCCTTTGCTCATGATACAACATTTAGTGTCTGTCTTGATGTTTTTTTTCTATTAAAATGACTTTGTTTTTTTTTAACTGTTCTCTATTTTCAATAGAACTACTTTGCTTAGACCTAACCATTTAAAGTCCAAAATAACTGTTCTAGCTTTCCTGAGCCTCTATATCTCCAGTTCCTTTCACTCTGGCCTACCCTCCACTGCTCTAAGACCAACATTCCTAAAACTGTGCTCATACCATCACCTCCACCCACCCCGCCCCTACCTTCCTCGGAAACCCACAGAGCTCCACTTTTGCCTAAGAGGTCCCATCCAACATTCTGGCAGTCAAGGCCATGGCTGGTCCTGTCCAGGCTAGCCACTCTTTCTCAGACATTCCCTAGTATCTGCTCTGATCAAGAGAGAGACATACCCTTTTCATTTGCTCACATGCCCTGCTCATTGTTACTAAGCTTTGTTCGCCCTCTCACATTGGGCATCTGTCAGCTCCTCCAGTCTCAATCTAGCTTCCCTTCTTCTATCACCCAACTAGCCTATAAAACAAACTTTTCCTAACTTTAAATTCCTTCAAAACTGTACACAGCCTCTAGCTATCCGAGGAAAGTCCTCTGATGTTTTCACTGTTTGTCGCATGTAAAGAGTGGGGATCACAACTAAACAAGGGTCACTCAGCACACTCAGAGCAGGGACCACGTGTCTTCTGCTTCCACCTGCCTCTTGGGATGCTGGTGACGTGAGCCTAGGAGACAGCTGATTTGACATACATCTCCGATGACAGTCTCTTTATTCCTCCCTCCCACTCAGTTATCAGTCTCTGATGGGAAAACTCTCATCAAGGCTTCCTTCACTGGGCAGACAATAGTATATACGAAACTTTTTTGGTGTCTGTTTACAAACAGCACAGAGAGGGCTCAGTTGCATCTGGCTTGCTGGTTGGTCAAGGGGGATTAGAAGGACCAAAGAATAACAGCATCCAATAGCCAGTTCAGGTCTTAAAAGGCATTCAGGTAGAGGGAAACCTGACTCCATACCTCAGCTACCTCCCGTTGTGTCGCTTTTTTTGCAGTGTCTCTCTCTGTTTGAAACTGCTTCCTTAGAGTTTCTACACGTTCAGCATGCAGCTGTGCTTCCATTTTAGATTCCTCAGCCATCTGTTCTCTGTTTTGAAAAAGACAGATAACAATCACTTTTAGAAGGTAAGGAGGTAAGAAAGATCTGGAGGGGAATTTGCAACTTTCCAAAAGGTGAGTGAATAAATGCAATCAGTTACCAGATGAACCTCACCAATGTGGAGCTCATTAAGAGGAGGAAAGGGAACTTCCGGCCAAGATAGAGGCGTAGGTAGACACACTGTGCCTCCTTGCACAACCAAAATAAGGTCAGCAACAATTTAGAAACAAGATAACAACCAAATCTGTCAGAAAATCGAACTGTATGGAAGTCAGACAACCAAGGAGTTAAAATATACACATTCATGCAGATCGGTAGGAAGGGTGGAGTCGGGCAGCCGGGTGGAGAGGCATTGAGGCACAAAAAGCGGTGGCACCAGGCGTGTAAGGCATCCTGAGCACAAGACCACAGTGGGCGGACCCAGCGAGGTGGCGATTATGAAGCAAAGTGCTGTGTGCAAGGTGGCTGGCTGTCCGGGCAATCCCACATTTGCATGCGGATAAACCAGGTGAAACTGGGCAGTGAGACAGACCACACAACCCAGGGTCCCAGTGCCAGGAAATAGAGCCTCTGGACACTGATTGAAAACACCTGTGGGGGTTGAGGTGCCAGGAGAGGCTCCCAGCCTCACAGGAGAGTGCGTTGGAGAGATCCACAGGGTCCTAGAACGTGCACAAGCCCACCCACCCGGGAATCAGCACCAGAAAGGCCCAGTTTGCTTGGGGGAAGCGGCAGAAGGGACTGAAATCTGACAGCAGAGTAGGTGCCACTGTTCCCTCTCAGACTCTGCCCTCACATACAGTGTCACAACCCAGTCACTGGGCTGCACCCCCCACCCAGAACACATAAGGCTCCACCCCTTACTCTGTAACAAGCTCTACCAGACCCCCCCCCCCCAAAAAAAAAAGTCTCAAACGGAAGAACAGATCAAAGCCCCAGAGCCAATACTTTTAGGCAACCAAGAGATAGCCAACCTATCAGATACACAGTTCAAAGTACTGGCAATCAGGATGCTCACAGAATTGGCTGAATTGGGTTATAAATTAGATGAAAAAATGAAGGCTACACTAAGTGAAATAAAGAAAAATGTACAGGGAACCAGTGCAGGGAAAAAATGCACAGGGAACCAGTTCACTACAGGGAACCAGAGTGATGGGAAGAAAACTGGGACTCAAATCAATGGAGTGGACCAGAAGGAAGAAAGAAACAACCAAACAGAAAAGAATGGAGAAATAAGAATTCAAAAAAATGAGGAGAGGCTTAGGAACCTCCAGGACATCCAAACATCCAAACATTCCAACATCCAAATGATAGGGGTACCAGAAGGGGAAGAGGAAGAGCAACAAGTGGAAAAGTTACTTGAACAAATAATAAAGGAGAACTTCCCCAATCTGGCAAAGGAAATAGACTTCCAGGAAGTCCAGGAAGCTCAGAGAGTCCCAAAGAAGTTGGACCCAAAGAGGAACACACCAAGGCACATCAGAATTACATTAGCCAAGGTAAAAATGAAGGAGAGAATCCTAGAAGTAGCAAGAGATAAGGAGACAGTAACCTACAGAGGAGTTCCCATCAGACTGTCAGCTGATTTCTCAAAAGAGATCTTGTAGGCAAGAAGGGGCTGGAGAGAAGTTTTCCAGGTCATCAAAGGCAAGGACCTAACATCCAAGGTTGCTCTATCCAGCAAAGCTTTCATTTAGAATGGAAGGGCAGATAAAGTGCTTCTCAGATAAGGTCAAGTTCAAGGAGTTCATCATCACCAAGCCCTTATTTTATGAAATGTTAAAGGGACTTATCTAAGAAAAAGAAGATAAAAAACATGTATAGTAAAATGACAGAAAGCTCACAATTATTAACAACCACACCTAAAAGAAAAACAACAACTAAGCAATCAACTAGAACAGGAACAGAACCACAGAAGTGGAGATCACATGGAGGGTTAGCAACAGGGGAGTGGGAGGAGGAGAGAGGGGGAAAAGGTACAGAGAATAAGTAGCATAGATGGTAGGTAGAAAATAGACAGGGGGAGGGCCATAATAGTATGGGAAATGTAGAAGGTAAAGAACTTATGACACATGGACATGAACTAAAGGGGGGGATTGTGGGTGGGAGAGGGTGTGCAGGGTTGAGGGGAGTGGGGGGGGGAATGGGACAACTGTAATAGCATAATCAATAAAATATATTTAAAAATTATTACAAAAAATGAGGAAAGAAAGCATTACCTGTAGCATTAAAAAGTTACTCCATATAAAGAGACCCAACTAAAAGGGCAAAACACATACTCTTGTTTTAACCAATAATGAATAGCCTTGAGCCAGCAACACTACCCCAGAATATAAAATTTGCAGAGATCACAAATACAAAAAATACCTTTTCTGCTTTAGCTTATACCTGCCTCCTGTGTCCACATGTTCACCACCTGAAAGCAATAAAGATCTGCGTGCACACCGCATTTCCCTTGGGTGTACACTTCCAAGGAATGTTACTGACATCTAAGTCATATTTACCTACATACGGTTTAAGGCAAGATTTGAGTGGCTTCACTTGAACTCGATGGGTTTGACCTGACTAATCTCAGGCCAAAACTGACAACAATGGTTTAGCATATGCTTAGATGGAGTCACCCTACCCCTGGATGGGAACAGCCCATCCAGGCTCCTGCTATTCCTTTTCCAAATCATGCTTTTAAAGGACACATAGGCTTTTGACAGACAAGGTTTGGGAGAAACATGCAAGCGTCCCTTCTAACCAGTATCTGTTCAATTTTGGTTTAATCTCTGAGCAGAGGAGAAGCTTGATACTACATGAGTTGATAATGAACACACCCAAGACAGGTAATATCTGCTGCTGCTCAGCTACTTCTGGTTCCTTGACACGGCTCTGTTGGGAGTACTAGTTCAGTAGGAGGAAAGGGTTTAAAACAGTTTATGTGAATAAGCCAAACTTCCTCTCCCAGAGGCTCTTCCCTAATTTTATTATGACTATACTGCCCTTACTTAAAGGTTTCCAAATTCTGTAACTCAAGTTCTTTTTTGTCCAGTTTCTCCTGGACAAGGTCAAGCTTTGTTTGCAGATGATTGTTTGTCTGGAGAGCTTGCTCCAGGCTCATGGCCAGTTTTCGGTTGTCTTCTCTGGTTACATCTAGAGCTTTCTGTAGAGGCTCCATCTGAAAGAGAGAAGAGGGTTTTTAATTCCACTGTAACAGATGCAGAAAGTCTATAACACTGTACAGTCACTCCCCCTACATCATCAAGTGCTGCTGAGACAACAATTAATTGGAAACAGAACCAGGAATCTCTCCAGATGCCTGGAATAAATATGTGAGAATTTACTGTAAATATCGCTCTGGGGCCTCTTAGAAGGCAATGGGAAGGATCTACTCTACTGGTCACTAGAGGGCTTTGGAAAATAAAGCCAACCTAATTTATTCTAATTTTTAAATGTTTACAGTAGTTAAATTACCCCTCCTGATCCTATGACCTTCTGGTCTCACTGCCTACAGAGATAAGAACGGGCAACTACGTCTTGTATATCCTTCCAGAAAAAAAAAAAGTATTTATATAAATGATCCATGGGTATTTTATGTACATGCTTATGTGTAGATAAATTTTCATGTGTGCATATACCTGTGAACACATGCGAGTATGTGTGTCCTTCTAGTAGGGGGCTCACTCTGGCTAGTTTTTTAAAAAACTGATTTTAGAAAGGGAGCAACAGGGGTGGGGAGGGAGGGAGAGAGAGAAACATCAATTTGTTGTTCCATTTATTCATGCAGTCATTGGTTGATTCTTGTATGTGCCCTGACCAGGGATCGAACCCGCAACCTTGGCATATGGGAACAACATTCTAACCAACTGAGCTACCCTGCCAGGGCTCTAGCTGCTTCTGACTGAGGGTATAGTTATTCTCCAAGCCCTTTAACTTCTTCAATCAGTTATGCATTAATAAATGAAAAGAATGTGAACCATATAAGACAAAAAGCATTAGGCATAATTTTTGTCCTGGTTTCCTAATAAATGATTCATTGTTGGATTGCACGCTGGCTTCCTATCTGTAAATATGTCACTGTCCAAAACTCAGACTTGAGTGAAAAGGAAATTTACCTGATTGTTTTACTCCATTTTTCCAAAATACCAACATCCCAATAAAACCAAACACTTTAGTGTTATTAGTAACAGCCTGACTGTACCTCATTGCTGTGCTGGGCATCCACGACGAGCATCCGGGCCTGCCACTGGTCCACCTCTGCTTCCAGCTTCTGCACTCTCTGCTGATTCAGAGCCCTATGAGTGCAAGCACAGGAGGAGGGGCTGGAGACAAGAGTGGATGGAATGATGCCACTGGGAGTCACAGGGCACTTTCCTTCCAAGCTCAAACGGCATATTGTAGTAGGTTACAGATGCTCAGAACCTGAGAGTTGGCAGGTGACAATTAGTAGTCTCAACTTCTGGTTAAGAAATGAAGACTCCTGCGAGTTAAAAACTTGTGCCATCTATGGGACAAATCTGACTTGATATACTTAGCCAGAGACTTTCAACCAGTGCGCCACAAGAATTTTTAAAGCACCCAATACCTGACTATTTAGTCAGAGGCACTGACTTCTTTTCTCCTAGGTTGTCAAATAAAAAAATCACAACAGCCAGCACAATAGCTGTCCAGTATGAATGAATCAAAATTATACCTATTATTTTTCAAATCAGAAAAAATAGAATATAACTTTTGGTGTGACACAGATTTTTAATAATTAGTTTATGTGTGCCATGAGGTGGAAAAAGGTTGAAAATTGCTGCATTATGCTATCAATACATGTCAAAAACTAATGGGCTGGTAATAATATATAAATTACTATAAATATTTATATTCATGAATATATACTGATATATATATATAGTCACTGAATATTCACTGAATATATTCAGGGTCTGGTACAAATAATGCCCCTTATTACATACAAATCTTTTATTACAAAATCATAAGCATGTTAATCTGTAACATAACGCTATCACACTCAAGCACACCATAAGACATTTTAGGTGAAATGTTCAAATTGCTGTCCATCTCATGTGAGATATTCATGTACCCCACCAACCACACTCAATGGCGTTACTTCTGCCAGACCCTGTGTATATATTCACTGAACACACACACACACACACACACACATTCACATACATTCACTAGTACAGAAATGCCATGAGGTGGAAAAAGGTTGAAAACTGCTGCATTATGCTATCAATACATGTCAAAAACTAATGGGCTGGTAATAATATATAAATTACTATAAATATTTATATTCATGAATATATACTGATATATATATAGTCACTGAATATTCACTGAATATATTCAGGGTCTGGTACAAATAATGCCCCTTATTACATACAAATCTTTTATTACAAAATCATAAGCATGTTAATCTGTAACATAACGCTATCACACTCAAGCACACCATAAGACATTTTAGGTGAAATGTTCAAATTGCTGTCCATCTCATGTGAGATATTCATGTACCCCACCAACCACACTCAATGGCGTTACTTCTGCCAGACCCTGTGTATATATTCACTGAACACACACACACACACACACACACACACACACATTCACATACATTCACTAGTACAGAAATGTATCACCTCTGTATGGACTGGCTTAATGTCGAAATTTCTGCTTCTAAATACAACAGCTACCTAGAATTTTATTGTGAATGGTAAACAACATTTTTATTACCTTCCCCTTGAATTTTCTTTTTCAGTGCAGAATATACACTTAAAATATGTAACAAATAAAAATAAGTACAATGAATATGAAACTCTTCCTCTCATAACACAGAGGCAATACGCACCGCTAACACACATATTAGAATGTATTTTAGAGGCCTTACTAAACTCAGACCCTTTGTTCATTAACTTGAAAGGAAAACTTTTATGTAATTTTTGAAACATTTAAAGCAGTTTACTTATAAAACATGGTTAGTTGTAGTTCTCAGAATGATTCATCTAGAATAACTACTAATCTTTAAATAGGATGCTAATAAATAGATAATTCAAACTAAAGTAGGCACTTAGCTTCAATTATCTTGACAACTATAGTCCTGCAGATCCAAGGGTGAGTTGAAAGTATAGAAAACAGCAAGGGTGAAATGTGAATCACATGAATTTCTAGAATGCACATTCCTTTACATCACTACAAAAGTATAAGAATTTTGAATTTCTAAAAGTCATGTTAATTTCTAATTCCAGACTTTTCATAACTTTAAACTCATTGTTTAAACATTAGTTTTCTGCAAAGGAAGGACTATAAAGTGACTTGGTTTCTTGACTTCACACTGCTCCTTACTGTAGTGCAGCATAAAAATACAAGTACAAGGACAGAAAAATAATCTCCAGTACCTTTCTTTCTTGAGGCCTGCAATCTCTGAATCCCTCCGCCCAAGCTCTATTTGCACTTTTTCCAGAGCACCTTGCATCTTACTGTGAGAAGCCAGCACGTTCTCCAACATGATTGTGACTTTGCAGTTGTCTTCCTTAGCTTCTGCCAACTGTCGCTGAAAGTTTCCCACCTAATAGAAAGTGAGACCAGACAAAGACATTTGATTCTCTCCGGTTATTCTGCTGCTGCTGACTCCATTGCTTCTAGGTAGAGAGTGTGGAAATCACGCATGGCAGAATGCTAAGAGAGATAATTAAAGTGTATTTTATTTTTTTAAGTTATTGTGACTTTAAGAAAAAGAAAACTAGACCCTGACCTATGAATTCCACAGAGAACTCTGAAGAGCTTCCCAACTACTGGCATGCCTCGGCATGTATTAACTAGACACTGGGGTCAACAACTTCCTGGGTCTAGAGGTGGTCTCAGACTGGCCTGCTTTGGCCCCGGTCAGCTATTGCGTGATGGCAGCAGAAGAGGAGAACACATCTGAAGCCCATCAGAATTATCTCAGGGTTAAAGACCGTAAGAGAAAGTGGTAGCTGCTGCAAAAGGATGTACCTCACAGCCCTCTTCAGTGAGGCAAAATCTAGGAAGTACTGTCAAGGGGAAGTTTGGGATGTGACTTGTTTTCACTAAGTACACACATTGATTAAGTAGAAAGCTCTTAGTGATTTAATTTAACATGAACTAACAGCAGTAACTATCATGTTAGTAAAGCGTAAGTAGGCAAGTTATTTCCAAGTTCAGATGTGTTTCAACAGAAAAAATTAGAATTTTTTCTTTTGATTGTTTTGTTAAGGTTTTTTCATCCTTTTTTAAAATGTGTATGTGTGTGTTTTAAGATTTTATTTATTTATTTTTAGAGAGGGGAAGGAAGAAGGAGGGAGAGAAATATCAGTATGTGGTTGCCTCTCACATACTCCCCACTGGGGACCTGGCCTGCAACCCAGGAATGTGCCCTGACTGGGAACTGAATCTGCAACTCTGGCTCACAGGCCGGCACTCAACAGCCAGGGCCCCTTTGATTATTTTAAGACAGGAAGTTGAAAAATTGGGAGTTAAATGATGCCTTTTTAAAGAAAACATTTCCAAGTGCTTCTAAAGTTTTCTTTAGAAGAAAAGTGCTCATCTGGATCAATACTCACTGTTTCTTACTAAAGGTAACAAGAAGTGACGCATATGGCTTGTGAAAGACTACCTGAGTGCCTCGCCCCAGCAACAGACCTTCCGAGAGGACTGATGCCTTACCTTCTTGTTCTCCCTGTCCTCCAAAGCCTCCAGGTCCCCTTTCAACTTCTGACTCTCTTTCAGTGCTGCGTCACGACACTTCATGGCTTGTGAGAGCTCCTCTTCATTCTTTTCCAGAATGGATTTTACCTTAGTAGAAAAAAAGGGAACAGTAAAGATTTTCCGAAAGCACAATAATAAATCAACAGTTAGAGTAAGACCCTGCAATTTAGGAACCAAACTTAAAATGTTCAACTATATATGCTTATTATAAATAAAACCAGTTTTATTAGCTATTTTTCCCTTTAAAGAGAACTCCAACACAAAAATAAATTTGCATGAACAAACACAAGCAAACCTAACATTCGACAGTCTTGATGGAAGGCCAGAATAAGGGAGAAGGCAGGTAAGACTGTGAAGACTATGCACACGCATCTATTAATTTCATCCCATGCACACTGTTCATGCCCATCGCCACCATCAAGATATAGGACTCGTCCATCACCACACAAAAACTCTCTTGTGCTACTTCTTTGTATTCATACCCTCCCCCAGCCCATCCCCTGTACTCTGATAAGCACTAGTTTGTTTTCTATCTCCAAAGTTTTGTCATGTCAAGAATGTTATTTTAAACAATTTAATAACTTTTGTATAAGTAATATTCACATTATTTTTTAATAGTTTTACTGAGATATAGCTGACATACAATAAGCTGTGTATACATAAAAGTGTACAATTTTGATGTATATATAAACTCAAAACAATAATCAAGATAATTAATATGTAATCATCATCCCAAAATTCTCCTTATGCTTCTTTGTAATCTCCCTTCCATCTCTTCCTGTTGCTACACCTGCACCCAAGGCAACCACTGATCTGTTTTTTGTCACAACAGTTATTTTCCAGATTTTTATAAAAAAGAAATCATATTGTATATACTCTTTCTTGAATGGCTTCTTTCACTCAGTGTAATTGAGATTCATTCAATCTTTTGCATGTATCTATAGTTCATTCCTTTCTGTGCTGAACAGTATTCTATCATATGGATATACTGCAATTACTTATCTATTCACCTGCTGGACACTTGAGTGGTTTCCAGCTTTCAGCTATTACAAACAGAGCTGCTGTGAACACTGTGTACAAGCCTTTGTGCAGACATGTGTTTTCATTGATCTTTGGTAGCTACTTAGGAGTAAAATGGCTGGGTCGTAGGTGGTAGTATGTTGCACTTTTAAAGAAACTACAAATTATTTTCCACAATGGTCATACCACTTTACATTCTCTTCAGCAGTGTATGAGAATTCCCGCTGCTCTGCAACCACACTAATACTTGGTATGATCAGTTGCTAAAATTTTAGACATCCTAGAGTTGTGCGGTGGTAACTCATTGTGGTTTTAATCTGCATTTCCCTACTGGCTGATGTTTAACATCTTTTTAAGTGCTTATACACCATCCACATACCTTTCTTGATGAGCTATCTGTTCAATACTCTGCCCATTCTTTTTATTGTTTTTTTTTTCTTATTGAGTTTTGAGAGTTTTTAATACATCCTGGAGACAAGGCCTCTAACAGACATGTGATTTGCAAATATTTTCTTGAAGTCCACAGATTACCTCTTTATTCTCTTAACAATGTCTGTGAAGAGCATAAGCTATCAATTTATCTTTTTTCAGTGGATTGTGCTTTTGATGTCAAATAAAAAAATCTTTGTGTAATCCAAGATCACAAAAAGTTTCACCTATGTTTTCTTCTAGAAGGTTCTGTAGTTTTAGGTCTTACATTTAGGGCTCTGATCCATTTTGAATTAATTTTTATATACCCTATGAGGTAGAGCTCAAAAGTTTTTTGTTTTCGAATGTGGATATCTGATTGTGCTCCATCACCATTTGTTAAACAAACCATCATTTCTCTACTTTCATTTTTATTGAAAATGAAATGTACATGAAATTAATTATTTTGAATGGCTAGCACATTCATTTTATTCTTAGATACAAAACGTAAAGTGAAATCTCCCAGTCACCCAGTCTCTTTCATCAAAAATAATATTGCCAATTTATTGTGATTCATTTTAGAGATATACCATGCATTACAAGTGAGTAAATATATGTGTGTGTATATATATATGTACACACACATATAATTGACCCTTGAACAATGAGTTTGAACTGCACAGGTTATATAACTTATATATCAAATATCTATCTTCAAGCAGTATTCCAAACCATGGCTAAACCATGATTTATTTAGCCAGTTTCTTGTGATGGGATTTTGGTTGTTTCCTGTCTTATGCTATTAACAAACAATACTTGAGTAAGTGACTCGTAATCATGTCATATGTACGAGCTAGTATATCTCTTGGAAAAAGTCTTAGAAGTACAACTGTGGGGTAAAGTGACAAATATTGCCAATTGCCTTCCATATGAAAAACTGTTTTATACTCCCAACAGCAACAAACAACAATGTCTTTTCTCCACATCTTCTTTCTCAACGTTATTACACTTCCTTAAAACTTTTCACTGGCGGAGAGACTTCCGGCAAGATGGAGGAATAGGTGGATGCACCGTGCCTCCTCGCACAACCAAGATTAGAACAACAATAATTTACAGACAGAATATCACTCAGAACTGACAGGATTTATCTGAATGGAAGTCAGACAGCCAAGAAGTTGAAGTAGACCCGTACATCCAGACCGGTAGGAGACGACGAGCCGGGCGGGTGGGGGGCTGGCGCAGGTCGGCGGCACGAGGAGGTCAGGGAAAATTTGGTGCAAAATCGGCGCGACAGCCATCCGGGGCGCAAGAACGCAGCGGTGATCCCTGAGTGTGCAAGCTGCAGCTGGCGGACCCAGTGGGGCAGCGATTGTGGGCCAGGGCAGAGCTCGCAGCCCAGGAGCCCAAGGAAGGCCCTGAGCCCGGGAGAACGAAACTATCGCCACTGTCCCCTCCCACTCCCGCCCACACATATAACGTCACAATCTAGCGACCAGGATGCCCAGCCCCGGTGAACACCTAAGGCTCCACCCCCCACTGTAACAAGAGCGACCAGAGACAGGGAAAGACATAAGACATATATCCAACAGAACAGATCAGTCCCCCAGGACTCATCCTTTTGAGCGACCAAGAAATAGCCAATCTATCAGATGCACAGTTCAAAACACTGGTGATCAGAAAGCTCACGGAATTGGTTGATTTTGGGAGCAATTTAGATGAAAGGATGCAGGTTACCATAAAAGAGATGCAGGAAGATACGCGGAGGAGAGCCAATAGTGAAGGGAAGGAATCTGAGTCTCAAAACAATACAGTGGACCAGAAGGAAGATAGAATCAACCAAGCAGGAAAGCATGATGAAATAAGAATTCAAAAAAATCGAGGAAAAGCTTAAGAGCATCCAGGACACCTTTAAACGTTCCAACATCTGAATTATAGGGGGTACCAGAACAGGAAGGAGAAAAAGCAACAGATGGAGCACATATTTGAACAAATAATAAAGGAGAACTTCCCCAATCTGGCAAAGGGAACAGTCTTCCAAGAAATCCAAGAAGCTCAGAGAGCCCCAAAGAAGTTGGACCCAAGAAGAAACACACCAAGGCACATCAGAATTACATTAGCCAAGGTAAAAACGAAGGAGAGAATCCTAGAAGCAGCAAGAGATAAGGGGACAGTAACCGACAAAGGAGTTCCCGTCAGACTGTCAGCTGATTTCTCCAAAGAGACCTTACAGGCAAGAAGGGGCTGGAAAGAAATATTCCAAGTCATGAAAGACAAGGACCTACATCCCAGATTGCTCTATCCAGCAAAGCTCTCATTTAGAATGGAAGGGAAGATAAAGTGCTTTTCAGATAAGGTCAAGTTAAAGGAGTTCATCATCACCAAGCCCTTATTTTATGAAATGCTAAAGGGACTTATCTAAGAAAAGAAGATAAAGAAAAGACATGTATAGTAAAAGGACAGCAAACTCACAATTATTAACAACCACACCTAAAGCAAAACCAAAAGAAACTAAGTAAACAACTAGAACAGGAACAGAGCCACAGAAATGGAGGGCACATGGAGGGCTAGCAGCAGGGGGGGGGGTGGGAGGAGGAGAGAGGGGGAAAAGGTATAGAGAATAAGTAGCATAGAATGTAGGTTGATAATAGATAGGGGGAGGGCAAGAATAGTACGGGAAGTGTAGAAGCTAAAGAACTCATAAGAATGACACATGGACATGAACTAAAGGGGGGGAACGTGGGTGGGAGAGGGGATACAGGGGGGAGGGGAGAGAAGGGGGGAAATGGGACAACTGTAATAGCATAATCAATAAAATACATTAAAAAAAAAACAACTTTTCACTGGCAACATATAAAATACTTCAACTTTTTCTTAGGGACCCAAGAATAGTACAAAGGATGCCAACTTCTAGGTTCTGAAAATCTTTTTTTTTTAGAAAAGAAAGAATACATTTGACTACTGAACAGTATGTTTGAACTGTACAGGGCCACGTACACACATAATTTTCGGTAAGCGCCTATACTGGTTTTGATGCACGGTTGGGAGTCTCTGTGTATGTGGAGGGCAGACTATATGCACTAATCTGTGCCATTCTATATAGGGGACTTGAGCATTTGTGGATTTTTGGCATCCATGGAAGATCTTGGAGCCAATCTCCTGTGGATACCAAAGGACAACTTAAGTACTAGAAAAGACAAAATTACATGCAGGCTTTTGATTGCATAGGGGTTTGATACTTCTAACTCATATGTTGTTCAGGGGCCAACCATATAGTTTTTACAATTTTACTAGTGTTTCTAAGACACACACACACACACACACACACACGAATGAAAAGGCTACTAGCAAAGATGTTTGTAGAAAGGATCAAATAGTAGTCAACTCTAGAAAACAAGCTGTAGTACTTTCAAAGTTTAAGTATCAAACAAAGATGGATGTTTTAAAAAGTTTTCTTTGGAAAATATTTTCTGATGTTCAAGTTTTTAGGGCTTCCATTAATGTATTTCTCTTTTAAAATCTGGCTTTGCCCATACATTTTAATTCGAACATTAAGATTAGTAAGTAGATATTTTGAATTTAAAAAAAATCAAAATTAAATTTTAGAAAACCTCAATGGCTCCTACTAGTCAAATCTGGTATTTTCTATGTCCAAGACCAAAAATTATGTGATAGCCAGAATGATGGTTTTGGTCTGTGTCACCAGTTTTCCCTATTTGTGAAGAACCTAATTTCCTGTTGTTATTCATACCTGCGAACGTCATCTTTCTGGGTTGTTACCACTATTCTTCATTGTATAAACCTGAAATTTACTTATGATGTAATCTGTAGTCTTCACTTACCAAATCCCGTTTAAGAAAACTTGGTGGCTCATCATTACTACATGGTCTCGAGGCAAGAATGTCTATTTTACCTTCCAGTCTTCCCTCCATGGTTTTAATAGCATTCAAAAGAGTCTTTAGAGAGATTCTAGAGTCGCCGATCTCCTGAGAAGATCTCACAGAAGTCAGGGTAGGTGCAAAGGTCACACGGCGTGTAGAGTTTGGAATAACACTGGGTAAACCAACTGATGAAGTTCTTTCCTTTACATTGGGTCTGGAGTTTTCAGGGAATTTTGAAGATGCAGGCCTCTCTGGAGATTTCCTTCTTCTTAGAGGCATCACCAATTAAAAACAACAAAATTAACTAAACCTAGAGTTATATTCAAAGAATGTTCCTTTTACTGCAAGGAACAGCACAATGCTCTAAATGAAGCTGAGACGGAAAATACTACTTGAGAATGTGTTCTGTTGCTCTCAGAATGAAGAAATCACACTGCAAAGTATGTCCTAACGAAGAAGCAGACCTTAAAGTCCCTGCTGGAGAGCGGATCTCATGAGGTCTTTTTTACCAGTACAGTTGATGGTAGAACCCTACCAGAATTCCATTTGGAGACACATTCTAGTTCCTTGGTTACCAAAGGTACACATATACAAATGTTAAAGGTACAGAAGTTACACATACTTATTAGTGTCAAAGATTGTTTTAAAAAACTATATACATGGTAAATTTGTAAATCACTGAAATGAATCACTTTCTTTCAGTAACACATTCCTGGATTATTTTCCTCACAAAATATCTTGTATTTCTTATTTAACTTTCTCTATTCGTTTGTTAAAATGTTATGTGACCTATGAAAGGCTTTCAATCTCAAGTCACCATGCTCTACTAACAGCTCTTTCAAGTAAGCAGTCTGTTGCTGGTGTATCTTGATGCCTGTAATTAAAAAAATCAAAAATACTTGTTCCTCACGTCTGTCAGAAGTTTTAAGGCTCATATTTAAAAACCACTGCCTCTATGAAAGCATTTCTCCATGCTTCCATTATAATGTCCTTCCTATGAATGCTTATAACACAATCTACTTTGTTTCTCAAAGGCATACTTTCTAATCTATAATAAGGTGTATTGAGCACATTTCTAAACCTCAAATTAGAGTACAAGCAAGTTGAATGTCCCAATCCTGCTCCAGGCATCTTTATGAATTCCTCTATGACTTAGCAGAACCATGGACTTATAGGGAGTTTAAAAAGTGCTTTTTGAATTAAGTGAGAGAATATTAATCATTCTGGCATTGTATCGTAAGGCAGGGATAAAAGGCATCAATTTCTTAAAAGCTAATTAAAACAATTTAATAGCAATGTGTTTGTAGCTATTAATCACACCTGAGTATATTTGGCCTCTAGAGCCTTATTCAACTTTCGTAGGTGATCATTCTGTGAATGGATTTCAGTGAAAGACTGTAGCTGTTCTTCTAGCTGTTTAACTTTTATCTAGGGAAAAAAACAGAAGAATAATAAAAATAAGCCTCATTAATAAAATATATATATTTACTCCAAAAGGAAAAAAAGATGTCACAAGTTTTTAAGAATATTTTATTGATTATGCTATTACAGTTTCCCCAATTTTCCCTCCTTTATCCGTCCTCCACCCTGCATCCCCCAACCCTCAAGCATTCTTTCCTCTTAGTTCATGTCCGTGGGTCGTACATATAAGTTCTTTGACTTCTCTGTTTCCTATACCATTCTTAACCTCTCCCCGTCTATTTTATGCCTAGCAATTATGCTTCTTATTCCCTATACCTTCCCTGCCATTCTCTCCCTCCCCTGCCCCACTGAAAACCCTCCATGTGATCTCCATTTCTCTGATTCTGTTCCTGTACTTGTTTGCTTAGTTTTTGTTTACATTTTTTCAGGTTCAGTTGTTGATAGTTGTGAGTTGTCATTTTAGTGTTCAGAGTTTTTGATCTTCTATTCCTTAGATAAGTCCCTTTAACATTTCATATAATAAGGGCTTGGTGATGAATAACCCATCGAGTTCAGGTGAAGCCACTCAAGTTTTGTCTGTATGTAGGTAAATATGACTTAGATATCAGTAACATTCCTTGGAAGTGTACACCCAAGGAAAATGCGGTGTGCACGCAGATCTTTATTGCTTTCAGGTGGTGAACATGTGGACACAGGAGGTAGGTATAAGCTAAAGCAGAAAAGGTATTTTTCATATTTGTGATCTCTGCAAATTTTATATTCTGGGGTAGTGTTGCTGGCTCAAGTCTATTCATTGTTGGTTAAAACAAGAGTATGTGTTTTGCCCTTTTAGTTGGGTCTCTTTATATGGAGTAACTTTTTAATGCTACAGGTAATACTTTCTTTCCTCCTTTTTTGGTAATAATTTTAAAATATATTTTATTGATTATGCTATTACAGTTGTCCCATTTCCCCCCCTTCACTTCCCTCCACCCTGCACACCCTCTCCCACCCACATTCCCCCCTTTAGTTCATGTCCGTGTGTCATAAGTTCTTTAGCTTCTACATTTCCCATACTATCCTTACCCTCCCCCTGTCTATTTTTTGCCTATTGTCCATGCTACTTATTCTCTCTACCTTTCCCCCCCTTCTCTCCTCCTCCCACTCCCCTGTTGCTAACCCTCCATGTGATCTCCATTTCTGTGGTTCTGTTCCTGTTCTACTTGATTGCTTAGTTAGTTTTTGTTTTTCTTTTAGGTGTGGTTGTTAATAATTGTGAGTTTGCTGTCATTTTACTATACATGTTTTTTATCTTCTTTTTCTTAGATAAGTCCCTTTAATATAAAATAAAATAAGGGCTTGGTGATGATGAACTCCTTTAACTTGACCTTATCTGAGAAGCACTTTATCTGCCCTTCCATTCTAAATGAAAGCTCTGCTGGATAGAGTAATCTGGAATGTAGATCCTTGACTTTGATGACTTGGAATACTTCTTTCCAGCCCCTTTTTTCCTGCAAGGTTTCTTTTGAGAAATCAGCTGATAGCCTTATGGCCACTCCTTTGTAGGTGACTGTTTCCTTTTCTCTGGCTGCTTTTAAGAGTCTCTCTTTATCTTTAATCTTGGGTAACTTAATGATGATGTGCCTTGGTGTGTTCCTCTTTGGGTCCAATTTCTTTGGGATTCTCTGGGCTTCCCGGAAGTCTATTTCCTTTGCCAGATTGGGGAAATTCTCCTTCATTATTTTTTAACATAGGTTTTCAACTTCTTGCTCTTTTTCTTCTCCTTCTGGTACCCCTATGATTCTGATGGTAGAGAGTTTACAGTTGTCTCAGAGGCTCCTAAGCCTCTCTTCAATTTTTTGAATTCTTGTTTTTCATTCTGTTCCAGTTGGATGTTTATTTGTTCCAAATCATTGATTTGAGTCCCTGTTTCCTTCCCTTCACTGTTGGTTCCCAGTATATTTTGCTTTATTTTACTTTGGGTAGCCTTCATTTGTTCCTTCATTTTGTGACGGAGCTCAATCAGTTCTGTGAGCATCCTGATTACCAGTGTTTTGAACTCTGCATCTGATAGGTTGTCTATCTCTTTGTCACTTAGCCCTTTTTCTGGAGTTTTGATCTGTTTATTTGGGCCATATTTCCTAGTCTTGGTGTACCTGTTATGTTGTTAGGGCCTCGGAGGGGCCTTAGGTATTTACCAGGACAGGGCAACCCACGTCACTGGGTTGTGGTGCTGTCTGTGGGGGAGGGGTCAGAGAGGGAACAATGTGACTCGCTTATTCCACTTTAGCCACACTTCCCAACGAACTCTCTTGCATAAGACTGGGAGTTTCTCCAGCAGTAGCAACCCCTGCTGTAGCTTACAGCTAGCTTTGAGTCTTTAGTTTCCCATTCAGCCAGCCCTGCCTTGCCCACATGGTCCACCACCTTACCAGGAGTCCTCTTCACTCAACTGCCCGTCTCCACCCCTCCTGCCCTCTTTCTGGTCTGAGTGAGTATTTCTTTAACTCCTTGGTTGTCAGAGTTCCATGCAGTTTGATTTTCTGGCACATCTGGTTGTTTACTTTTTTTAGATTGGTTGTCATCCTTCTTTTGGTTGTGTGAGGAAGCAAAGTGTTTCACCTACGACTCCATCTTGGCCAGAACCAAGATGTCACAAGTTTTGCAAAAAAAATTATACAGAGAATCCTTAAAACTTGTAAAAGCAATCCTAAGGTTTTCTAATCATGTAAAGAATGCTCTTTCAACTCAAATACATTGCTATTTCAACAGCTGAAAAGTAAGCTATATCCTAAATGTATCTACATTTACATGTAGAGGGATAATTCCTTTGGTTTCTACTGCTTATGGAGACTCCAAATTAACATGACTCATGAATATAACAGTGAGAGTTTGTAGGTAATAAATTTAAATTTTAAAGGAATTGTGATATCCAGTATTTAAAAACATTTTTTGATTGTGGATAATTAGAATTGTTAACATGCAAGGAGGAGATGGCCTTGTGTTTTTACCGACAGAATTACAAAAGTTGAATATATGGAGGTATATGGTGCATTGTATTTTAAAACTAACTCATAAAATGACCATTCACATCCTTTAAAGAAAATTATCATTTGGGGAGAGAAAAATCATTAATATTTACTCACAAACCTCCGAATAGTATGTTTTTCAACATTTTCCCTCTCTCATTCCCAACTCTCTCATACAAATCAACAACTAACATTACTTAGGCCTATATTTTGAATCAAGAAAAATTTCATACAAAATTTTTTATTTAAATCAACTTTTTCCTCTCTTGATATCTTCTTGTTTCCTACCTGTGGAGGGCAAATACCCCTTGGCTGCAGCTCCTGGGCATTTTCAAATGTTAAAATTTAAATGCCAGTAAATTTTTTTGAAAGGCTGCACAAGAACACATTTTGTCTTAGGAAATATCTATTGTTCCATCAGTAGGATTATTCTTTCTCTCACATTTGCCTGTTTCTGTTGCTCTTTTCCACAGTGTACAGTATTAAAACATGTGCTGTGGCTCTCCAAAGCCATTAATAAAAATCAATCATGGTATTTTTTCATGTTAAGTTTCAGAATTAAAATGGCTGCCTCTAAAGGGAGGTACTGATGAAACAATTACCCTCATTTTAAACATAAGCAAATTCTTAACCCATAGAACCCAATGGAAAATGCACTGATTAACTCTGAAGACTTTCAGATAATGTCTCCAAGCAAACACTCTCTCCTTATACCATAATGCTTCTCAAGATTACCTCAGCCTCTGGGGTACTCAATAAAATGCCTAAAATCTGTCAGATAGCATGTTTACCTATAATGCACTTCAATTTTTATATTGAGTTTCCTATTTGGCAGGATATCTAATTCAGAACATTCAAATGGGAAAGAACATGGAAGCAAATAAATCTTGCTGCCCCCAGAGACCTGGTGTTCCATGTCATTAGTGCCCAACTGGATTCTATAGCTAGCTTATCAGCCAGTCTCAGGAATCACACTTCCCAGGTGAGTCTACTATGTAGCTAAAGCTAAGAACCACTGATTCAGTTGGAGTTGGTTTAAGGCAGGCCTAGCCATACCGGTGGCAAGCTGCTTATTCTCTGGGTCCTGTAGGGGCAGAACCCCAAGGCAGCAGCAGAAGAGTAGTGTCATCCCATTCACTCAAGTCTATTCTATTGCCTTAGAGTACCAATTTCCAGGGCTACTTCTTTTTAGGAATGTTACAAAAATTCAGCGAAAAAGAGAACATCTACATTCTCAGTAAATGAGAATGCATTAAACAATTATAATAACACTTTAGAGAGTCACAGAATGGACTTTGGCTTTAAAATTTTAGGTTTCAACATTATAGATTAGGTATGTGAATAGAAGTCACCTAGATTTTATTTTTTAAAAGATTTTATTCATTTTTAGGGAGAGGAGAAGGGAGAGACAGAGGGAGAGAAACATTAATGTGTGGTTGCCTCTTGTGCACCCCCTACTGGGGACCTGGCCTGCAACCCAGGCATGTGCCCTGACTGGGAATTGAACTGGTGACCTTTTGGTTCATAGGCTGGCATTCAATCCACTGAGCCACAACAGCCAGGGCAGAAGTCACCTAGATTTTAATGCAGTAACAAACTTAGAGAAGTTTAAAGGCTTGTGCAAAGTTATTAAATTAGTAAATGTAGGCTAGGTTCTCTGAAAATTCAGCAATAATTAGTTTGACTATTGACATTAAAAAGTTAGACAACAAAAATCAGAAAATAAAATCTCATACCTGGAGCTTTCCCTTTTCATAGGCCAGCTTATTTTTACTCTCAGTAATTTTTCCCAAGACCTTTTCCACCTGTTGTTGAGCAGCCTGATAAAACAAACACAGTTATCAGTACCTCTAGGCATAGAAGGAAATAATCAATTTCCTTTTTAAACAAGTATCTACACCTTTACCATTTCTATACTAATGAAATCAGGATTCATATTTATTGGTACTGCTGCTGTCTCCTAGTCTTTCCCGAGATAGCCAACCATAGTGCAACATGCAGGGAGACAGGTCAGGAAGGTGCGAGTGCCTTAGGAGTCCCAGAGTTTGCTCTTCTTTGTTTATTGATTCTATTTTTGTTACACTAGTTACTCCTTCCTAGTTGTGATAGAACCCAGATGTGGGGTGGTGACAGATGTACAATTTGAGGATCATATCGTTCTTCATGAAAATGGGAGCTGTAAATGATCACAGCCACCTGGACAGTAGGAGATGTTTCAGTTATCAACAGTAAAAGACAGTTAAAAAAATCTCTTAAACACAAGAGGTACATTATTGGAAACTCAAAACATGGTTTTGATCAAACACTGAACACACTGTTATCTGGGACAAACATTACTGAAAGGCTCCGTATTTTATGAAATTACATATTTTCATCATTAAAACAGCTGTGGAAAATATTCTTCCATGTCTTTGTCAGAAGAAATAAATATAAAATAGAATTTTCTTTTGATTAAATTTGGGGTGTTGTTGGTACTTCAGAACAATATTAGTGTTTGAATATGGAAAATTTCACCCTTCATAATCAATTTCATTATTATATTTCAATTACATGAAATACTGTTATTTGCCTTATGTCAACAGTATCTTCATAGATCAACTGTGGGGATAAATACAGACACAAGCAAAGTGACTGAGAACCCAAATTCTTAATCACTCAGGCCAACCAGCTGTACTATGGATTGTCTGCAGTGAATCTGGAGTTTAAAATCTTGGTAAATATTGACATAATTCACTATTTCTGACTTACATTTGATTAATTAGTGAATAATAGAACAGGAAGCCTTTTTAGCATTTAAAACCAAAGAATTTAGACTTCTGTCTTATGTTCACCTTTGGGCAACTTGATAAAGATGAAATAGCATATGTAGGGATGTAACTTTACATAAAAGATATTCTTCACTATCTCTGACAGTTATAGCTATTCTTTTAAAAAATATACTTTATTGATTATGCTATTACAGTTGTCCCAATTTTTCCCCCTTTGCTCCCCTCCACTACTATCCCCCATTCCCTCCAGCAATCTGCCCCCTTAGTTCATGTCATGGGTTGTGTATATAAATTCTTTGGCTTCTCCCTTCCCTATACTGTTCTTAACATCCCCTTGTCTATTTTGTCCCTACCAATTTGTAGTTCTTAATCCCTGCACCTTTTCCACCATTTACCCCTTCCCCCTCCCAACTCATAACCCTCCAAATGATCTCCATATCTATGGTTGTTTCTGTTGTGCTTGTATGCTGAGTTTGTTTTTTAAATTAAATTGTTGGTAGTTGTGAATTTATTGCCATTTTAATGTTCATAATTTTGATCTTATTCTTAAATAAGTCCCTTTAACATTTTATATAATAATGGCTTGGTGATGATGAACTCCTTTAGCTTTACCTTGTCTGGGAAGCACTTTATCTGCCCTTCTGTTCTAAATGATAGCTTCACTGGATAGAGTAATCCAGGTTGTAGGTCCTCATCTTTCATCACTCTGCATACTTCTTGCTAGTCCCTTCTAACCTGCAAAGCTTCCTTTGAGAAATCAGCTGACAGCCTTATGGGAACTCCTCTGTAGATAACTGACTGCTTTTCTCTTGCTGCTTTTAAGATTGTCTCTTTTATCTTTAATCTTTGGCATTTTAATTATGAAATGTCTTGGAGTGGGCCTCTTTGTTTCCATCTTATTTGGGACTGTGTGCTTCCTGGACTTGCATGTCTATTTCCTTCACAAAATTAAGTAAGTTTTCATTATTTTTTCAAATAAGATTTCCAACTTCTTGTTCTTTCTCTTCTCCTTTGGCACCCCTATGATGCAAATGTTGGAATGCTTGAAGTAGTCCCAGAGGCTGCTTACACTATCTTCAAATTTTTGGATTCTTTTCTCTTTGTTGTTTTGATTGGTTGTTTTTTGCTTCTTTTGTTCCAAATCATTGATTTGCTTCTCGGCTTCATCCACTCTTCTGTTGTTTCCCTGTAGATTGTTCTTTATTTCAATTAGTGTAACCTTCATTTCTGCCTGGGTCTTTTTTATGCTGTTGAAGTATCCACTGAGTTCCCTGAGAATCTTAATAACCAATATTTTGAACTCTGCATCTGATAGATTGCTTATCTCCATTTTGTTTAGTTGTTTTTGTGGAGTTTTGTTCTGTTCTTTCATTTAGGCCATATTTCTTTGTCTCCTCATTTTGGCATCCTCCCTGTGTTTGTTTCTATGTATTAGGGAGAGCTACTCTGACTCCTTGTCTTAGTAGTGTGACCTATTGTAAAAAAAGCTCACCAGTAAACTGGATGCAGCAGAGCCTTAGGTAATCACCAGGGTTGGGCAATCCATGTCGCTGCTCTGTGGCTCTGTGTGTGGGAGGAGGGCTTACAGAGGGGACAATGCCACTGCCTGGCCTCCATAGTTTTTTCTGGGAGGAAGTTGTCTCCCAGCACTCAGACACTCTGATACCAGACACTTCAGTTTCTCCCAGTATGCCACAGGTGCACTTCTAGCTATTGCCCTGGTGCTAAAGCCCAGTGAGTGTGCATAAGTCCTAAGTATATTGCAGGCCCTTTAAGAGGAGACTCCTGAGAATCTTAGTTTCATCTGCTGCCCCAAACTCCACTGGTTTTTACACCCAGAAATCATGGGGAATTATCATCCCAGTGCTGGAAACCTGGGCAATGTGGTCTGGTGTGGGGCTGGGATCCCTCGCTCCTGAGATATCTCCCCCAGTTTTTATCTACCAGATGTGGGTGTGGGACTGCCTGTTCCACGTCTGCACCCCTCCGACCCATTAGGTGAATGTGGCTTCTTTAATTCCTTGGCTGTCAGATTTTCATACAGCTCGATTTTCTGACCATTGTGGGTGATATTTGTTTTGTAGTCTAGTTGTAATTTTTGCTGTGGTTGTGCCAGGAGGTGAGCCGTGTTTACCTAGGCCTCCTTCTTGACTGGAATCTACAGCTCTTCTTTAGCCATCACTTTGTAGTGCACTTTATTTCAAGTATTGTGAATCAACACACCTATTTCCAAGTAAAAGAAAAAATGCATTCCCAACTAGATTACTATATAACAACATGTAACTCATTCTTTCCTTTGTTCAAAATATTTTCATGATAGCATATTTTTTTTAAAGGGGGCACACTAGTCTGGATTTTGTTTTTGTCTTGGTAGTTGCTTTGACTAGAAGAATTAGGACATTTTAGACAGTCTAAACTTAAGAAAAAAATCTATGGAAAAGCTGAAAGAGTCATTAGTCCTTGTAATCCATCTACTCCAAAATTACACATATTCAATACAAAAATGTATACCGAATATTAGGTGTGTCAATGGGTTATTAACTATTATAACAATCTAAGTATTTGTTTTATCAAAACAATATTTATTTCATGTATAATATACATAGTCATCCATTGTTTAAGATTTTTTTAAAACAAATCTCTGTGTTGCTGCCACTAAAAAAAAGGAAAATATTTTTTATAAAGCATTCAGACCAATGAAATATTGGTTTCAAAATAACCTAAGGGAAATGTAGACTGGTATAAAAAAATAGGAGACCAATAATAATGTACTATCATAAAGTTTATCATCATTTTTCTGTCTGTGGAAGACATACCCACTTACCCTACTAGTTTCTATTTTGGAAACTCTGATGTAAAATCATTGTATGAACAAAACATTATAGTTGGGATTATGTTTTGACTCAATCTTCAATAGAAAATAAATTAAAGGATGGCCAATAATGCTGTAAAATTAGCTAAACCATATAACTGTAAAACCTTATTATATAAAATTCAGTTACAAGTTCTATAAATCAGTATTTCCTGATGTGCTGTAAAGTACAGGAATAGCTTATAAAATACCAAGAGCTAGACTTAACCTAAAATATGCCAGCTGTAACAAGTACTGAACACTCCAAAATAACTTTGTTTGCTTTCTTGGAATGTGGAAAGGATTTTTATAGAATAACTTAGATGATCTAAGTTTCTCTTAAAAGGCATCTAGGAATTTTTAAAATAATGATACCTTTTTCTTCAATAAAATTCTTTCTAGGCAAAGGCATAAAGAAATTCTATTAATATTTTCAATAGACTTTAAAAATAAGTTCTCTTTTTTTGCAACCAAACAGAATGCTACTGCAACGATAAGTAAAAACTTCAAGCCAAATCAAAATCTGACATTTGACATATGGTCACTTATTTACATTTAAATTTATGACAAAAACAAATTTTTACCAGTTGCCAAAGGAAAATTTGTGTTAAGGCATTAACTTAAATTACCGTTTGTAGATTATTTGAAAAGGCCCCATATTTAAGAGAATCAATGAAGACCAGAAATTACAGGAGGACCACTTAAATGAGTGAATGTCTCAGATTCTCAGTTTTGGAAGGCAGAACTGAGATTAACCTTTGCTTAAGTAGTCTAAGCAATATACTGTAAAGATTATTAAATATGCAGAGCAGCACAGAAACAGAAATCACCTGAGAAACGGTATATAATAAAAATGCAAATATTTAGAGTATACATTATAATTCAAACACAAAGATATTACTTCTTGGAAAAGCAAGAAGTAAACAGAATTATCTTAAGATATAAAAGGCAGGTTGCCAAGGAAGGCCACAAAATGATTTCTAAAATCATTTAAAAAATTCGGGTAAGCTGTAAAAGTTAGCCAAAGCTGTTAGAGAAATACATAAAAACAGCAGATACTGGCATCTTGGTAAAGCTTTTTTATAAGAACACTGTAAGAAAGATTTTACTCAAATATTTAACAACTAGTATGAGAGGTCCCAGCAGACAAAACCAACTTTGACACCTGCCAGGTGGTACACTGACTGAATGTCCTCCACTTACTCTCTGTAATGTTTCATAGTTAAGTAATGAGCAGCTTATGACAGTTTGAGAGAATTTAGCTTGGATTAAGATGGACTCACATTAGGGACTTCTATGGAATGACTAATTTTTGTCCAAGTATTCAAAAGCACATAGAAAATTTAGTAGCTGCTTCACAAATCAATCATCTCTTTAAATCTCCCTCACTTCACCACTTGGAGCAGATGTTTTAAGAGTTCTACCATTTATTTGTAATGCACTGAACTTGTTAAACAGCTTTTAAAAATCAAACTTACTACTGATTACCTAACAAAGGAAATAGGGAAACAGACAAGTTTCCTCTTCATAATTTATAGAGGAGTAGATTTTTAAAAATATTAGCAAGATTTGTGCTTTTCAGCACTATAGACTGTCTGCATAGACAGATGTTTATTAGGTGTCTTAGATCCTCTGTTGTTTGAATGCCGTGGGGGTCTGTGCCACATTTAGCCCGTGTTATTTAGGACTTCTGGTAATGATTAAAACACAAATGAAGAAAACCCACCTCCTGACTTCTGATCTCCTCTTTTCTTTTAACTCATTAGTAATTAATTCCTACTTTAGACTGACCTTTTTATACCCACCCCATGGAAGTCAGATGTGTCTTGCTGAAGTTCTAGGCAAGCCAACTCATCTGCCAGCTGCTTATTCTTTTCCTCTAGAGACTGTAGGCTGTGGGTTAATGTATTTATGTCTACCTTTGAAAAACAAAAGGAGAAAAGAAATCTGTTTATTATCTATAAATAGGTAAGTATATATATTTATGCTAGATCCAAAAATATTAACTTATTTTTAAAATGACATTTGTAACTGTAAAATAGAAGGTATCTATGAGCATGTTCTCTTACCTTGATATTTAGAGATTTTCAACCTGATAGTTCTATGATGATTTTTAAAACTCTTTTACATTATTTTTTCAACTTTTCTACTTACTTTCAGTAGAAGGCTTATTACAAATTACATTTCCTAGAAATGGAAATCTTTCTGGTACTTGGCATTTATTTAAACATATTAACTATCCAAACCCATTTAATTCTTAGATATAAATAGAAAAAAACATATGTTCAGTATTTGATAGGCTGAAAACTACAATATACTGATGAGAGAAATAAAAAAATTAAAAATAGACAAATAATTCCTATTCTCCTATTAAAAGATTCAATACTGCTAAAATGTCAGTTCTCTCTGACCCTGAGCACAACTGTGTGGGGTGATTGACCAGCACCTGCCCTCTGGTGGGGTCTGGGCTGTGGGGCGAGAAAATAGGCCTTATAAGAAATACTGAAGGAAGTTCTTCAGGCTGAAATAAAAAGGCACTAGATAATAACCGGAGTCCACATGGTGAAATAAAGAGTATAGGTTAAAGTTATAACATAGGTACATGTAAAAAATATATAAAAACATATTTTTTATTTGTAACTCATTTGGTTACCCATAAATAAAAATTATATAGTAAAAGAAAGGACAGGGGAATTATAATAGTGCACCAGAAATATCTACTTACCATGAAAGAAGGCAGTAATGGAGAAGCAGAGGATCAAAAAGCATATAAGACATATATTTAAAAAACAAATTGTAAAGTAGATATAAATCCCCCTTATCAGTAATTAAATACTCAAACTAATGCAGAACTAGATATATTTTTTAAAAAGATCCAACTCTATGTGTTTATAAGACATACATTTAGACCCAAAGACACAAATGAGTTGAAAGCAAAAGGATGGAAAAACAGATGCTATGTGAACAGTAACCTGAAAAGAGCTGGAGTGGCTGTGCTAATATCAGACAAAATAGACATTAAGACAAAAATCTGTAAGATAAAGGGTGCTATATAATGAAAAAGGGTCAGCCTATCAAGAAGATATAACATTTATAAATATACATGCATCTAACAAGAGAGCCCCAAAAGTACACGAAGCAAAAACTGGAAAAACTGAAGAAACAATTCAACAAGAATATCTGGAGATACCAATATCCCACTGTCAGTGATGGACAATACGATCAGACAGAAGCTCAGCGAGGAGGTAAATGACTTGAATGTCACAATGAAGCGATTACACCTGACAGACACTTACAGAACAAGGGCAGAATACTCATTTTTCTCCAGTGCTCATGCAGCACTGGAGAAAAATGCAGCATTCTCCAGGAGCTACCATATGTTAGGCCATAAAACACTCAAATTTGAAAGGACCAAAATTATACTAAATATGTTCTCAAACTACAGTGGAATAAAATTAGAAAGCAATAAAAGAATAAAAATTTCAAAAGTTACATGTGGGAAAATTAACACACTTAAATAACCAATGGGTCAAAGAGGAAATTATGAGGAAAATTAAGGAATACTCTGAGATCGAAAAAATGAAAACACAACATGACAAAATGTACAGTATTCAGTGAATGCAGTGCTTAGAAGGAGTTCTACAGCTGTGGACACCTATATTAAATAATAACATCTCAAATCAAAACCCTAAGCTTCCATTTTAAGAAACCAGAAAAAGAGGAGCAAATTAGGCCCAAAACAAGCAGAAAGAGGTACATAATAAAAATTACAGCAGATATGGAATAGAGAATAGAAAAACAGAAAAAAAATCAATAAAACCCATTTGGTTCATGAAAAGATCAGCAAAATTGGCAAATTTTTAGCTGTACTAGCCAAGAAAAGAAACAAGTAGACACAAGTTACTAACTTTAGGAAAGAAAGAAGGGACATTACTACAGAACTTACATATATAAAGATAAGGAGCTACTATGAATGATTGTATGCTAACAAATTAGATAACAAATGAAATAAATTCATAGAAACACCCAAATACTGAAACTGACTTTCTTAAACAGTAGGAAATCTGAATAGACCTATAAGAACAGAGACTGAATAAAAAATAACAGTTAAAACAAAGACCAAATAAAAAATTTCCCACAAAGAAAAACCAGATGGCTTCACAGTTGAATCCTACAAAATATTTAAAGAATTATTATCACTAATCCCTCACAAACTCTTCCCAAAAATAGAAGGGGAGGGAGAACTTACAAAATCACTTTAAGAGGCCAATATTACCTTGATACCAACACCAGACAAAGCTATCACAAGAAAACTATGGAACAATATCCCTTACTTATACAGATACAAAAATCCTCTATAAAGTACCAGCAAGCTAAGTCCAACAACATAAAAGGATTATGCACTTGAGTCAGAGAAATTTATCCCAGGAATTAAAGCTTGATTCAACATTTGAAATCAATTAATGTAATATACTATAGTAATAGAATAAGGACAAAATGTACAATTTTATTTCAATAGACACAGAAAAAACATTTGACTAAATTCGACTCATTTGCATGATAAAAATTCTCAAACTTGGAATATAAGGTAACTTCCTTATTTGGATAAAGGTCCTTTACAAAAAGCCCTCAGCTAACATGATACTTAATGGAGACAAACTGAAAGCTTTCCCCCTAAGACAAACAAGTATGTCTTGCTCTCACTGCTTCAACATTGCATACTGAAGAATATAGACAAGGCAATTACACAAGAAAAGGAAATAAAAAGCAGCAAAATTGGAAGAAATAAAACTATCTCTATTTGCAGATGACAAAATATTATATAGAGAAAATACATCAAATATTGTATAGATTACAATACTCCCCAAATTGATATACAGATTATACACAAATCCTATGAAAATTCCAGCTGCCTTTCTTTTTTGCGGTAGAGGTCAGAAATAGAAAGCTAATCCTATCATTCATATAGAAATGTAAGGATCTAGAATAGCGGGAAAAAATCTTGAAAAAGAAATTGGAGGACTCACAAAGCTACAGTAAATCAAAACTGTGTGATACTGGCATAAGGATGTAGATGCATGTAATAGAATTGAAAGTCTAGATATAAGCCCATACATCTATGATTGACTTTTTACAATTAATTGATTAACTGATTTTTTCAATGGAAAGAACAGTCTGTTCAAAAGTTAGTGCTGAGCCCTGGCTGGTGTGGCTCAATGGATTGAGCACTGGCCTGCAAATGAAAAGGTCACAGGTTAGATGCCAAGTTAGATGCACATGCCTTGGTTATAGCCCAGGTTCCCCAGTTAGGGGTGTGTGAGAGGCCACCAATAGATGTATTTCGCATATTGCTGTTTCTCTCCCTCTCTTTCTCCCTCCCTTCCCCTCTCTAAAGAGTAAATAAAATCTTAAAAATAAAAAGAAAACTGCCTTCTTTAAAAGGAAATTAGTGCTGAGATAACTGGATATGAACAGGCAAAATAACGAAATTGACCGCTACCTCACACCAAACAGAAAATTAACTCAAAATGGACCTAAATATAATATGTAAAACTATAAAATTCTTTTCTTAAGATCTTATTTATTTTTAGAGAGGGAAGGCATAGAGAAAGAGAGGGAGAGAAATATCAATGTGTGGTTGCCCCTCACATGCTCCATCCTGAGTACCTGGCCTTGCAACCCAGGAATGTGGTTCCCTGACTGGGAATTGAACCGGTGACCCTCTGGTTCGCAGTCTAGCACTCAAGCCACTAAGCCACACCAGCCAGGGCTAAAACTATTAAAATTCTTAAATAAAAAGCAGGTATAAATCTTCATGACCTTGGCTTAGGCAACAGTTTCTTGGATGTGATACCTAAACCTAAAGTGCAAACAACTGGAGATCCAAGATGGTGGCAGAGTAGGTGGAGGATACACTAACCTCCTTCCAGGATGAAACTGAATTATACAAAAATCATCCTGAATAAACAACTGAACACTAGCTAGAGAAAGCCATATAAGCAAGGCCGTATGGAAGAAACCACTTCGCCACAACAAGACTGGTAGAGAGTATGGGGCCCAAAAGGGCTGGCTCAGTTCCCATGGGCAGTAGCTGAAGTTGTGGGGGGATATTTCAGCTAGGTGGTTCCCCTGAGTAATGTGGGATCTAAACACCAAGCTGGGCTCCTCAGCCTATAGCACCAGAACCAGAAAAGGAACCCAGATAATATCAACCTTTGAAAAGCAGTGGGGTTTCTGTCCACCAGGGAGAGATAGTTAGAGATGCAAAGCCTCTTAAAGAGCCAACACACAAAATTTTGTTTGCTGGCACTTACCCTGGGCACTGGCAGAGGGAAGGCAGAGTAGACTACAGACATGTGAGGAGAGTCTGGTGTTGGCTCTGGGGAGAGAGCTGAAGGAACCACTGGAATCCTTGTGCTGAGTCATGTCCCATACTGCAAAGGCCATTTTACCCAGGCAGAGCACACCCCTCCAAGTGGCATCAGCCTGAAGGGAAGCAAGCCCCATGTGCAGGAATTATATGCCGCACCCTGTGATGCTTAGTCCAGGCTGCTGAATACAGCCGGACGCTAAAAGGGCTATTAAGCCTAGTAGTGAAGGGGATCTTGGGAGCTCTGAGACTTTAGCTGAAACTCCCCAGGGCCCAGTGCTGGTAAAAGCCGGACTTGGTGTGCAGTCTGGTTCTTTTTGTACACAAAGAGCCCAGCTAAGGAAGCCACAAGCTGTGCATCACTTAAAGCTCCAAAGAAGTTGCCCAGGGCCAGTCACAGACAGTATCTGACATCGGTCTGTACCAGAATCTTTGCAGATCTACTTAATACATAGAAACAAATACAAAGAAGCAGCTAAAATGGGAAGATAAAGAAACAGACCCCAAATGAAAGAAAAATAAAATTCTCAAAAAGAACAAAATGAAATG